TAGTGCCAGATTTCCTTTCATGTGCCATGAAAACATACTTTGTACTCAATTCTGGAGTACCTACCTTCTTATATTTTGGTAAATAATACATTTCACAACATACATCAACAGAACATTTGAACATTTTGTGAGTTTAACCACAGCTTTTACAGTGTTTTTCTTATTAAAGGAGCTAAACCCAATTTATTTTCTAATGAGTTCATAAAAATGCGTATGACTAAAATACGTAATTTAATTGAAAACTTGAGCTCATTGATTCAGCTTGTGTATGAGTTCAGGCCGTAAAAAGTGCTGAGTAGAAACTTGGCGTGACGCTCGTTCTCCTCCAATCACAGAGCAAGGACAAGTGTAACGTTGGTTTGCACTGCCTTGTCGAGATACACTACCTCAGCTGTTTATCATGTAATGCAAACCAGAGCATACGCTTCTCACGGCAGCCAAAGCAAACCAAGATGGCAGATGTAAAGTCTGTGAATTGTTTAAAAAGTTTAAATATGAAGGAATTAAGACGCAAATGTCACTTTTAATGCAATTCGAGTTTGGTTTAAGTCAGCTGCTCCTGTGAAACCACACTGCTACTGTGTGATTGCAGTCCTCTTGTCGAGTTGAACTACCGCATACGTCATTTTACTGACGTAGGCAGATGACGCGTCCTGTGACTTTGACTCTTAAACTTTTAAAAGACAACTCACCCTCAAATCCATGATAAACGGTATAAATGAGTGTCCAATAGTGTTGTGTACATATCCTGGTCATAATTTTGTCACTTTAGTGCAAATTAGTTGAAAAATCAACTTTCTGCCAAAAACCGTCAGTGAGGCGCCATCTGCAGGCGACATGAATTTACTACATTTGAATTTTGAATCTGGTGCCAACATTGACACAAACGCGAAGGCTGACGTCTGCAGTGAAGGCTGACGTCAGCTGCCCTGCCGCCCTGAGGTATATAAACGGCCCAGTCTCGTTCAAGCCCCCGTCGCGAGTTGGAGAAGGAATAGCGGAGAGTATTTTCATCCATTGTCAGGTTTGCGATTAGTTATAGCATTTAGGTAGATTTTTATCAGCATATAGCCGTTTGTATTATAGATAATTATGTAGCGTTAATAGCGTTGTTGTTGAGTATTGTAGTTTTTGTCATTAGTTGATTTTATTGTTAGATTAGTTAGCTGAATTTAGCTTAGGACTTTTGTTAGTATTACTAGTGTTCTACTGTATATCGTGTGCAATTTCATTGTATATTGTTTATTGTACTTGTGTATAATAAATACTACTTGATGTTTAAGCGTGTGTTAAATTACTGTTTGGATTTGCATAGGTTTGCATTACATCATAAATAGCTGAGGCAGTGCATCTCAACAAGGCAGTGCAAACCAACGTTACACCAGGGCTGTTACAAACAGGCCATGCCTCCTCTAGCGTCTGCAGGTAAATACCGCAGCTTGGCAGATGAAAGTGGCTGCCATGCTATGGCTATACCTCCTCTGGCTGTAACTGCAGACACAGAAAAACAGCCCAAACGACGCAAAAGTGAGGAGGAGAAGAGGGAACTAAAGTGAAAAAATTATCAAAGAAGAAATCAAGCCCAGGTGAACATAGCTAGCTTACATCGTATCCTCGCCGGAGAGACCTGCGGGAGGGGGACCGTCTCAGACTACATTTGGACGCAAAACTAGCAGTAATCTTTCAGTTAGTATACAGTATATATTTTAAGCAGTGCATTGCTTTTGTAGCATTTCATCAGTGATTGTTGTACAGCTTACAAGAAGTTGCACTAATGCTATTTATAACGCACCTTACATGTTCTTCACATACAGAATGTAAGATGCGTTATAAATAAAATCTAATATTATTTTTAATGTTAATGTTCGCATACGTATCAGATTGCCAATACCCTCACCAAAGTTGAACCAAAGATATGACAGAGGCCAATTAAAACTACATGTGAAAGCTATGACAAAACTGTTTGTGGGAGCAAATTTGGCTTTCATTACCACTGCTTTAAGCAAGTCTTGTGGAAATGACTTGACTTTCAGTTATTATTTTAGCTTGAATACCGGAATGTATTCAAGCCATGTGATTGCCTTCGTAATACAAGTTAAAAGCAAACCCGTGGCTAAAGACATCTGACATCAAAAGTACAAGACTTAAAATTGCAGCTTTGAATGCCTTATTTCTGTTACATGTCGCCAAGTATACCATTTATGCAACTTAACAGCCTGTCCTGCAAATGTAAAATGTGGCTCTAAAAGTCCTATTTTCCTCTAAGTCAGAAACGCTGGAGGCTGGATGCATGCATGAGTGAGCTGAGTGGCCTAGAAATGGCACGAGGTCTTTTGGTGGATCCTGTCCTAAAGAAGTCCCGGCAGATGTTGTCGCTATTTTTCTTAGGAAGAGCAGAGGAGAATAAGTTCTACCTGAATCAAGCCATTTGTATTTTGCACCGCTATTCTTCCAACGTTATAACCCCAAGGAGCTATTACCCCTGCTTCTGCTTCAAGATCTAATTGTACACAAATCACGGCTAATCATAGGCTCTCAAAATCAATTCAGTGCAAGAAGACGTCCCCTCCTGTGCCCATTCTGTTTTTTAACCTCAAATCTCGAACCAAAACAAGAGGAAACAATATCTGTCACCGTGACTGACAGTGCAACCCTCAAAGCACAACTCGGCATGAAAGATACACGCAACAACTCTTAATTTTTATCCCTTCGGCAGAGAAAAGAAGGGCTTTTTGTGCAGAGCAATGGGTGGTACTAATGCTGCACAAAATGAAAAGAATCAAAGCAACGTTGTGGCGGATTTAGACACACTCAAATTAGTGATTTATGCAAATGCTAAGCGTTTTGGAGTGCGAACGAATGAACAATTAGCTGATTGGGCTGAGGCATCAAAAAGAGGTGTCAGTCAAGAGATGAGGAAGTAGTGGGGACTAGTGTTGTCGAGAGGCTAAATTCCAAACTCTAATTCAATATGACGAAAAATACTTGGTTTCCTTTTCAATACTCCAGGGATTATTTGTAAACTTTATTTTTGAACACTAAAGTATTTCTTAACGATTGTATTTGTATATGGGGTCACAGGGTTTTATTCTGATTTGTTTGATATAGTTCAAATTTGAAACAAATTGTCCTATTAACGTATTTGAATTGGGAGAGTGCTCATTAATCAACATGTTTTAGTTTGAGTTAGCCATGCAGGCTAATTTTCATCCGTAGTTCCATGTTTTTTTATTTAGTTTTGAAGCACATTTTAAATTAAGTTAATATCAGATTATTTTTTCTTGAAAATATATTAAAATAGATTTTTAATTTTAATTTTGTGTTTATTCAGTTATTAGCTTGTTGTTTTTTTATTTTTTATAACTAATGGTTTTCTTTTGTGTTTTCAATGATAAACATCAGATTATCAATACTTTTGACAACCCTAGTGGGAACCAGGCTCAGGGAGAGACTGATGTTACCAATATCTGCTGATACCATCGGATCAGATCAGATAACCATGACATAAAGTAGAAAAACGCTGAATGAAGTAAATAAACCCATTTTATCCCTCCTGACCTTTATCTCGGCTATTGCTTCCAGTAAATACAGATGTTATATGATATTATGTCAAAGAAATACATTACAAAGATTGAATAAATGCAATACCCTGACCTTCTATCCAATCACATATGCAACCGAGGTAAATAGTTGTTTTTTTTGGATGTAGGACACAAACATTCGGAACAATTTGACAGCATAATCTCAGGTTGTCTCCATATGTCAGCAGCTCAGAAGCAAAATCGGGTGAAGGGGGTGCACGTGGTGAATACAAGTGCAAGGGCAGAAGGCGAGAAACTGCACTACTGTTGTGAAGAACGTCTATAATTACACACTGACTGAATCTCCCAACGGTCTCCCCCTCCGAGAGTCTAATGAAGGGAGAGTGAGTGGGCGAACAACCACGACATGCCTGCGTGCTCTGGGCCTGCCTGCCTGAGCAACATACGTCCACCTCAACACACGGTTTACGAATAACATCCACAACACGTCCGATCTGAGGTCACGCCATCTGTCTGTCTAGACCTGTGCCTCTCCACACTCCCCTCACAACACAAGACCCAATAGGCAAAATAGGAGTTTAAAACACACATAATTAAATATGTAAAAAAATCCATGTAACTATTGATCTTTGCTTTGAAAAATATCTATTTTCTTTGTAGTTTTATCACTAGTTTAAACGTGCTTCTGTCACCTCTTTACTTTACTTACCCAGTTTTTGGGTCCAACCTCTTTCAGCCAATAAGCTCTTTGCATGAATTACAAGATTACAAGTTTTCATATTTTGATGTTGTTTTGATGCGACAAACAAAATCCATATAGGAAACCAAAACAAAGTTAGGTTCTCCAGTAGTAGTTTTTATCTATCCTCCAGTTCCTCTTTGTTGGTCGAGATGTATTTGTGAGAATTTTCCAGTCTTGTTTTAGTCAATAAAAACTAAAATCAAGATCAATTTATTTAATTTATCTAATTCAAAGGTTTTTTTGGTGACGGTTGTTGGTTATATATTTGAAAACAGAGTGTGTTGAACTTGTTGCGTGCGCCAATATACTTCAATCAACACATTTGATCAATAAGACAAGTGTAAAAAAAAAAAAGTGTAGCGTGGCGTGAAAGGAGTGCATGTCTTGTGAAGTGTATTAAACAGCAACAACTGAGGTTGGATGCACAGAGTGGATTCATAGTGAGAAAGGAATGTAATCTAATACCATAGCTTTTAATAAATAATAATATTATTCAGAATTGGATAGCTTACAAATCTATCCAAGTCTAAAGCTTACAATTCTCTCCAAGTCTACATGGTTAAATGAGAAGAGCCTCATCTTACTGGTGTCACTGTGGAGCTATTATGGCCTCATACAGACAGACAGAAGGACAGCCACACAGCGTGACCCTCCTCATTAAACAGCACGAAGCACCTTCTCAGTAAGCGCCTAATGAAACACGGCACATGACCCACCCGCCTTTGATGTAGTCCAAGAAGGTCACCTCCATGTCCACCAGAAAGGACAGCAGCGTCACCTAAAGCCAAAGAATCATAGACACTGTTAGTCACGTGGCACATTATATTGGCAATAGTGTCTGATCTTTTTAATAGTACATGCTTCCATAAGATTTTTATCTCCACTGTTTGCGGATAATTCTTTTGAATGCGCTGGAAATGGCAGCGAGTCCTAAGTAGTTCTGAAACAGTTGTTTTTATGCTTTACAATTGTTATTTTATTTGCTTTTTTTCTACCTGACATGTTGCTGCAGTACAGTGTTCATGGTTTTACACCAAGGGGTCCAATGGAGGAATGCCAACTTTTTGAAAAATTTTAATGAAGCATTCCGCATTTTACTTTGACTACACCACCTCTGCTGCTGTGACCTGAAGTGCTGTTGCATTTTATTATTACTATCGTTATCTTTGAAGAATGATCCATTTATTTGTTTTGATTGTATAGATGGATGCGTTTTTGCTGATACTGGGCACCTGAATTTCTCCTACAGGGACCAATAAAGTATTTATCTTTCGATCTATCTGTAATGTTGTCCTGTTGGCTTCATCAAACCAAGACCTCCAACATACACTGCAGCCACATGTGAAGCAGGAATGAAAACCAGCACCTCCAAATCCCCGGCTATGGTGACTGGAAAAAGGTATCGGGGTCTCGTTCACAAGTGAGGGCAGGATGGAGTGTGAGATTGACAGACGGATCGGTGCAGTGTGTGCAGTGTGTGCAGTGATGCAGTCGCTGTATCTGACTGTTGTTGGGAAGAGGGAGCTGAACAATCCATGTTCCCACCCTCACTTATGGTCATGCCGCTCCTTATACAATCTACATGGAACGTGTTGCAAAAAGATAGGAAATTATCTGAATTTATTTCTTAGAATGCTTTTGAATCTATTGAATGTTTTTATCCTGTATGTAATTGCGTGTAACTTTTGCTGTTGTCCAGGATTCCCTTAAAAAAGAGGTTATTCATCTCAATGGGACTTGCCTGGTTATATAAAAATGAATTTAAAAAAACAGTGAAAATGAGTTTCCACCGCAGAGTGGCTGGGCACTTCCTTGGAGTAGGGGATGAGGAATTGAGTCACACAGGAACTGAGATAAGCTCGGTGTAACGCCACTGCGTATTCCCCTCCACATTGTGAAGATCTAATTGAGTTGACTCGAGCACCTGTTCTGAAGGTCTCCTGAACGTCACACTGGGAAGAAGAGTATGTCAATGTATATGTCTCTCATTTGGCCCGAAAATGGCTAGGGATTACCCCAGATGAGCTGGAGGAAGTGTGCATGGAGCAGTAACTCTTGGCATCCCTGCTGAGATGGAAGAAAGTTGTGGGGGATGACATTATGTACAATAGCCGCGTTTCCACAGCAGGAGTTCCTGGTAAAAGGAGCGGGGTGGAACTTTTACAGGAACCGTCCTCTCCCTCGTTCCTCTCCCTCGTTCCTCTCCCTCGTTCCTCTCCCTCGTTCCTCTCCCTCGTTACTCTCCCTCGTTCATCTCCCTCGTTACTCTCCCTCGTTCCTCTCCCTCGTTCCTCTCCCTCGTTCCTCTCAGTGTTCGTGTCTCCACTGCAGTAGGACCACTCGGCAACGTCATGAGTTTCGATTGCTGCATAAGCGAAACTCATTACGGCAAACCCATTTGTTTATTTTACGGTCGACCGCTCCGGTTGTTGTGGCCTTTGAGTTTTTTATAGTCCTTCTTCAGTTTTTTTAAACTTTTCACGCCTTGTTTTGGAGTGTGATGAATCCCCAGTGCTTCGGGGTGAAGCTGACAAGTCTTAAATAGTTTCATTTTGCCGCGATGCCTCAAACCCCGTCTGAATCAATGCCGTGCTGTTGTTTGCTGTTTCCAGTGGTGTCTGCTAGGCTAATGCTGCTGGGCTAAAGCTGCTAGAGTTTTAAAATGCCGGTTGTTTTGGTGCTTTCTGCTGGCGTCAGAGCCTGCGCTAGCTTTAGCCAATCAGCGCCGGGTTAACCTCAAGTCCCATCAGGGCCCAACGGAGTACGTAGAATGGAGGAGGGACTCTGTTGGGCCCCATCAAAGTTCCTATAAATGGCCCTGTGGGGGAAGTTTCTGCAGTGGAGTCACGCACCAACAGGGCAGGCCCTGGAAAATTACCCCGAAGTTCCTGCGGTGGAAACGCGGCTAATGACTTAAAGATATTTTATTTAAATTGTGAGTACCAACCCAATCTATGAAGGCCTCAGATTCTTGTTAAGAGAATATTTGTGACTAAAAAGCAACATGAAGTTCCAGAAAGTCACCATGCAGAGTTCAGGTTAAAGCCTGATTATGTTATAAAAAAGCAATTTCAGTGCACTGCTCATTGATCGTTGGGAAATGCAACAAGCAACTTCCTATACAGTAGGAAAAAATGCCACCTAAGGCTGCACAAACTAAGACAAAGCTAGGGGCGTTGTTTTATCATTACTGCAAGGTTTCCAGGGAGGCAGAGAAGGTAGCAGTAATTTGACACACATAGGATCACTGTGCACTGATGCAATTAGAGAAACAAATTAGAAACGTGATCATTTTCACAGATATCATTGGTCAGAGTTTATAAACATTGTTTTGTTAATTGGGATTCTTTATAAAGTTTGCTTAAATAAACAAACTCTTGCTGAATGAGGACTTACCGTTCCAGAGTTGAGATATTTTTTCTTCTTCCCTTTCTTCTTTGGATTTACCACCTACAAAAAGAGAACCGTCACTTGTACCCTTGTGCATTTGCATTCAAAGAGCATGTTGATGGTGATGTGGTCCTTCTGGTATTAAGAATGCAGACAGGTAAAGTGTGTATTAGATCAATTTTTATGCAAATTTGATTCTGCCACGCTTCGGTGCACCCAATGTTGTCTTCTCTTTTAAAGATTAAGCCACAGAAAAGGCTAATGACCACAAGGGAGGTCATAAAGAATCACAAATGTAGCATTGGGTAATTTGATGAGAAGAAGAACAACACCATCAAAAAAAGCAATCAGAAACACTTTTATTTATCCCTAAGGCAAAGCTAATTTTGAGATGTTTTGTGTGCCAAACAGGAAAAGGTAAACTGCCTATCAATCACTCTTTTCAGAAATGTGTGCATAAACTTTTATGATCTTTTGTAGAGGAAAGATCTCAATACTAGACTGGCCACCTCTGGGGAGGCTGTATAGTGTTAAAGGCCGAAACACCCTATGAGCCAGAGAAACACTACTGATGATGCGTCCCATAAATTCTATCAATGACAGGGCTTAAAGTTTTCCGGCGTGAGAAAAAAAAAAAAAAAAACATCACTTTTTTTTTTTTTTTTTTTTTAATATATATATAAATAAATAATGATTGCTGTCATTTGAAAAAAGGTTCAAGTGTGTTCTACCAATTGTATGAAAGGATTGCATGTGTATAGCGCAGGGATTAAAGAGTTCCGTCTAAGTGACGGATTTCCGTCAAATGAAATTGGTCTGAAAAAAAACCAAAATATATAATAATAATATAATACACACAATTAAATGGTTAATTATAACAAAATATATAGTAATACGTGTGAATCTGTTGTATATATCTAGATATATATTAATAATTTGAATATAATTGTATTTATATGTATATAGAAATAAAAAGTAACGAGTGGGCCTTGAACGTGCCGTGGCTAGCTACATGAGCGCTCCGTAAATGATTCAAGGCAATGGGACGTAGCCAAGTTAGCGATGGTAACACGGAGGTGAAAGTTTCTGAAAAGTGCACGGAGCTTTTGAAAAGGAGAAGAGGACAAGGAAAATGTAATCCCGAACGGAGCAATAACAGCCAGCAGCCCGCGGACCGGTAAACTGGGCGCGTTATCAGAGGAAAGGTAGAACATAATTAACGTTTACCAAACGCAATGCTTTTTTATTTAACGGAATGTACAATATGTACTTTGCTGTGACTGGGAATGGGGACAAGCATGTCTTGGTGAGCTTTTGATAATATCTTGGTGGCGATCCCCATGCAAAACTCTGCGTGATAAAAAAGCCAATCAACGAGAGCGAACGGAAGAAACTCGCTGAAGAAAGGTGTGTGTTAGCAGGTCTTATATTCATTCATCAAAGCTAGCCTAGCATGCACGCACAATCACAATCATGGATCGTTGTTTATGGAAGAAGGAGCAGTATAAGTTGCTGTTGATAACGGAGTGAAAAATAAATGGAGGTGGGCATGGCTGGATGAGGTGGAGACGATGGGATTCTGTTGCTTCCTGGTGCAAAAAGATGAAGGTGTCCGGTGCTTGTTCGTACTTCGCTATTATTATTTTTTTTTATATGGGAGTAATGAGAAAACAGCTTTGGATTCACCACCAGCTCAAAACTGCGCACTTGGCAGCTGTCCGTGCACTTTCCCACACTTCTTTACCTGGTGCATCAGATTCAGCGACAACTGAGACTAGGCTTGCTCTGGTGGACTGTGTCTGTGACCTAAAACTAAGAGTCTGTGGCTTTATCGCAGAAAATAACCTGTCGTTCAGAACCATCACTACCGCTGGTAGATTTAATTATCATTAATCATTTGCAGTTGATAAAACTGCGCTGTGCACTAGCACCAAGTTGATAGGGAAACCTTTTTCTTAAACATTGAGTGTCCACAAACAAATGTGGACAGAATTTTGAATGTCCTTTTGCGATATTTTGACGAGGACAGAGCCAAAGGACAACGCCTCATCTCGCCTCAAGTAAAGCCAATGATGCAGATGAACTACTCTCACTAATATTCTGTCAAAGAGTTGACAAGTTGCTTGATCCACTGGTTGTAATTTCACATCAAAACACACCAGTTTAAATGTATATCTTTGAAGAATTCGTTTGATCTGTAATTCATTATATTTCCATGAGAAAATTTTCAGTCAAATCTTTTTTTTTTGCTTTAACCCCTGCAATGATTCAGGTCTATTATTTACCATCAAGTCCACCAACTACTTGGATAACACACACAGAGTGTGTTTCACACAGAAACATCCAATCTATATGGCAAAGGCATTTCAAAACAGGCTTCCAGCAGTTTGAAGTAGCTGCAGTAGATCAGGAAACAGGGCATTTCAGACTTGAAATCTGTACAAATGTTGAACGTTAACAGCCTGTAGCTGTGACTTGTAGCCACGTTTCATCAGTGATGATAAAGTGGGTTGGACACATGTAGGTTTTTTTGTCTAACTACAGGAAATACAGAATGCTATGTGTGCTAGCTTTAGGATAACTTCAATAGTAATAATAATTATAATTGTATTATTATAATAATGGCGCCTTTCCATACACCCAAGGACGCATTACAACGTATTAAAAACAATGTGTTGGTAATGTCTCTTTACGTCTCAGGGCACATAATCACGTAGGATTTCCCTGTGTTTGCAGCCGCTACTTGCTTCTCACATTTTAAAACCTGTGTTTAAAAACAGGCAGTTCAGGGACTGTGGAGGAAGATGTTGGGTCTGCACAATACATTTATTACGCAATGTCCTGAATAAATAAATAAACGGGACATTACATGTTAAATCGACTCTTCAACAGACCATGTAACAGCTAACTTACACAGGAGGCGTTACAGGACGTACGTGTTATACGCGCAGCAGACGCGCGTAACATTTTTCCATGTAAACCAATGGGGATATTTACACTACTAGAGGCTGCCACTAATTTAGGATGGATTTCTAATTTTGTGCGCGCAGCCACACGTCTCCCAGTCAAAACACATAGAAAACATTATTTTTCTAGCGGCCCTTGGCTCTAGATTGCATCTACACACACACAGCACTTGTATCTAAACATTAGGAGTAGGACTGGCAGGTTTTACAGTGATTCAGCACACCGTTTTTTTCCATTTATAAAGTCTCGCGTCTGGCCAAACCAGGGCAGAGATACCATGAAGACAAACACATGCATGTGATTTGTGTTGCTCTACATCAGTCCTCTGGCCAGTACTGTCCTCTACGCTTCTCCATAGAAGTGTAGAGTACCTGGGTGTTCATCTGAACCACAAACTGGACTGGACTCATAACACAGACGCCCTCTTCAAGAAGGGCCAGAGTCGACTCTACCTGCTGAGGAGGCTCAGGTATTTTTGGAGTGCAGGGGCCACTCCTAAAGACCTTCTATGACTCTGTGGTGGCATCCGCCATCTTGTACGGTGTGGTCTGCTGGAGCCTGCTGCACCATCACAGAGAGGGACAGGAAGAAGCTGGACAAGGTCATCAGGAAGTCCAGCTCAGTCCTGGGCTGTTCCCTGGACACAGTGCAGCAGGTGGGGGACAGGAGGGTCCTGAGCAAACTAACATCTATGCTGGACCATGACTGTCACCCCCTGCAGGACACTCTCTCTGCTCTAAAGAGCAGCTTCAGTTACAGACTTATTCATTCTTGATGTGTGAAGGAGAGGTTTCGCAGGTCATTCCTTCCTGCTGCTGTCAGACTGTACAACAAACAATGAGGACTAATGAACACTGCCAACCTGATTCCAACCTGTTTCCATGTGTCATGCATCGTTGCAATATCCTTATTTTATACCAGTGCAATATCCTTATCTTATACCTGAATGTGCAATATACAGCTGCTAATGTACAGATGTAAAGATATTGCTGCTAATGTACAGATGTAAACATACTGCTGCTAATGTACAGATGCTAACATATAACCACACTAAAATACACAGTACTTTATACTTTATATAAAATGTTTATATATTTTTATATCTATTATTATTTACAAGATAGAGTTTTTTATACTTATTATTGATGCTAGAGTTAGAGATTTTGTTTTATTTTAATTAGGACATCTATTGTTCAGGTAACGTGTGCTGTGTGCTCCTCTTTCCTACTATTCTGTAACTTGTGATGCATCACGGATATTCCCCCACTGTGGGACAAATAAAGGATCTCTTAATCTTAATCATAGACTACACAGGCAGAGCATCAGAAGCCGCGGACCTGCGCGCACGGCCAGTGGACATACAGCCAAGAAATGTTACGCGCATATGCGCGCAGTCAACGCTTACGCGCTGTTAACGCCTACAGTGCAAATTCCCTGTTACACACGCAAAGCTGTTTTTAGAACAATGTCCTGCATGTTTGAGTGATGTATATTATCTTGCGAGTGCAGCTGTAATAATGTTCAGCCACTGTTTTTACTCTGGCAATGTTATTTTCTGATATTTGCAAACTTGATCAGTGCGGAGCGGTGTCACTGATTTACATTTGATGGAGCCGAAGTCCACTGAATAAAAACAATATTTACTATCTCCCATATACGAAATATGTTGAGACGAAATCAAAATAAATGTTTCTATGGGAAAACAAAGACAACAACTGCTTTAACTAGGTTCTGAAATGTACAGAATGTAATTTATTGGCATAGATGAAGTTGGCTGCATGACACTGTTCTTTTGTTCATGATTTCTATGGCTGCTTTGGGTTGGGAAGCATATGCAATAAGGACTACGATTGGCCGATGAGCCAGACTTTGGACATGCCTGTACTAAATATATATTATTGAACCACAAGAGGATGATCATTTAGCAGACAGGAACATGTCATGTCATCTATAAAATAGAATAAGACTATTACCTTCTACGTGGCAATACTTCCTCAGTGTTTTTGGGCTATGGAATGATTTAATGCACAGTCTGAGTTGAAAAGAAAAGCACAGAGCTGAGTTGTTGCTTTCATCTTCAAATTAGCCTTCAGCAATCACTTTTGAGACTGTGCATAACCATCTGGAAATGCATTATACAGATCAAGGGCATCTTTGTAGTACGAAGATCTATTTGATATATCCGCTTTGTTTGCTGTCACTAAAGCATCTTTGAATTTTAAACAGCTTTAAATGGAGGCTTTAAGGTCCATTTTAAACTATGTCAAGGTTAGAGTAGTAGCAGAGACCCTGGGGTAACAACATACAAATGGTTGGTTTTTCACCTTGATTCACATTGGGGTGGCAGCACAAGGACAGAGCGCCTCCCGTAGAGCTGCAGGTGCAATGATTGTAACATGGAACTCTGAAAACCTTTTACAGTGTAACGTAAACACTACATTGCAATCTATTCTATTTGGTCTTTGCTCACTTTTCACTTTTAACACCACCTGGACCAATGTCGGATGATTTTGCCCCAAATCCAGCATACAGGTGACCGTTTTCTTTTTCAGTTCACAATTTGCCTTCCGGAATGTAAATACTGACATAAAACTGCACAAACCCATAACCATGTTGTATACAGCCCAAAAAAATAAATAAATGATGTCACAAAAATACTGGGGTCTCCCATGGATCTATACGGGTCTGCGTTGGTCTCTCCCATGGATCTAGACGGGTCTGCACTGGTCTCTCCATACGGGTCCGTGCTGCACGCTCCTGGATCCAAACGGGTCCGCGCTGGTCTCTCCAGTCTGGTTTGCGGTCTCTCTTCGGTCCGCGCTGGTCTCTCCAGTCTGGTCTATGCGGTCTCTCTTCTTCAGTCAGGTCTCTCAGTCTATGCGGTCTCTCTTCTTCAGTCAGGTCTCTCAGTCTATGCGGTCTCTCCTGTCCGCGCTGGTTTCTGTGTGCTGGTCACTCCAGTCTCTCCTCGGGTCTGCATTGGTCTCAGCGCTGGTCCGCGCTGGATCTCCTCCCAGGGTCCAAAATATTTTTAGATTAATCTCAAAACATTTTGAGATTCATTTTTAAAATAATACATAATATATTTTTAAATTTATCTCATAGCATTTTGAGATTAATCTCATCATATTTTTAGATTAATCTCATCATATTTTTAGATTAATCTCATAATTTTGCTAGTTCGACTTTATTCTTATAATATTTCAACTTTTAAGTCAACATTTTATAACTTTATTCTCAGTCTGGCTAAAGAAGAAAAAAGGGTGACTCTTTTGCTCCGTGTAACTCTTTGCTTTAGGCCTGTTGCTGTTTCCTCTGCAGTCCCTTATATGGGCATTAGTGGGCGGTTACCTATGCTAAGTACCTATGCTAATGAAGCACCGGGCACGCGCGCTCTACTTACGAGGAGTTGGCATTCATCAATCTGAGAGAACAGCTGCGAACAATTCAGCGGCTTACGAGCGCGTTGATGAATCCCACGTAGGGTCTTCTTAGAAATCTACTTAAGAACGACTTGAGAAGAAATGTAAGAAGTTTCTTACGAAGTTATTCGTGAATGAGGCCCAATGAGAATACTACTACTGATAATAATAATGCCTTACAAGTCTCTCTATGCCGGAGGGGTCCAAACTTTTTTTTTTTTAAAGGGCAACTTAAGTTAACCAGTCGTGTCCAGGGGTTGACAACTGTTTTGACTGGATTCAAGCTGTTTTGAGCTTTATAATGAACTATGATGAGGCTGAGTTTAGCTGAATGATAAATGACCATCTCATCAGCTACATTAGTGCCACTAACGAGACGTTGTGACACTATCAAAAACCAATGTCAGTACATACAGATAAATCAAACTGCTGAATTAAAAAAATCCTGATATTTACAACAAGGAATAAAATGCCTTTATCACACGGCTCCTCACAGAAGAACGCTTCATTGATTTGAATGTAATTTCAAAACGTTCTACAGCTCATTATTTCTTGATAACGGACCTCTAAAAACAATAATGACCGCTGCCCATGGCAACGCAACCACTGCTTGTAATTCAGATGTGTAGATTACTCCGCAAGTAGTTCCGGCCACACCCAAGCTAGCCACGCTCAAAAAAGGCAAATACCAATCAATCAACACATTTAAATGTTAATCTGAAAATACATTATACATACATTCTTACACGAGGTTTTCAGAAGTATCTGTTAAGTTTTTCATGACAAAAATACTGCTTTAATGCGAGAAAAAGCTACGCAAAAAACCCGGAAGTAGATTCCGGGACATTTTAGGAACATTTGCAGAGGATCAAATTATGGATTTTGGTTAGGTTTATGTTTGGGTCACTCACCGCTGAGTGTTTGTTCAGTTTTCATGCAGTTCGAGAGAGTTCTTGTTTGGAAGTTGCTAGCTATAACTGTTACTAGCCTAACTGTTGCTAGCCACGGGAAAGCCTTTGGGAACTATTTTATTTTCTGTCATTAAATAAACCTTTTGGCATTCCTAAAAGTGGACTGAAGTTTATTTTGAGTGTTCTGTTGGTACAAAGCCGTATAATAAGCGGGTCGGGGGTCCGCGTCAAGGTCCGCTTCACCCTGTCTGTACTTATTTTCCGATAATACCTGCGTAATATACATTATCCCTTACATATTAGCTGAGCTGAAGTTGCCTGGATGACAGTGTGAAGTTGCATTTATGATCTCAAAGATAAATATAAAAGAATGCAAAAATAACGCAAGGGGTTGCAATTGTCTTGCGAGCCTTAGTTTGGACATGCCTGCTCTAAGCGCCACACTGAAGTCAGTTTCTATTCACGGACAGAAGCGAGGCAGCCAGTCTGTGCCATGGGCCCCTCTGACCGCCGTCATTCACTCACTCTCCATATTCCTACTGCTTCATGTTTTTATTGTGGTGGCGGAAGTCGGAGCGCCCGGAGGAAATCCTACCCAGACACGGGGAGAAACATGCAAACTCCACAGAGAAAGGCCCTTCAGACAGTAAACCCATACATTGCAGGCCTTCAAGATGAATTCTCAAGAGTTTGTGATACTCAATGGTCTTATTTGAACCTTGATGAAACAGCAGCGAGATGGTTCACTTTTTCTTTTTTTTTTCAAAGAGTTCAGTACACGTTGGAGATGTGTACTGAACTCTGACTTCAGCATTAGACCAAAAGCAAGTGAACCGACAACAGCTGAACTAATGGATATTCATTTTGATGGTGGGGAGAATATTGGCCAGGGGCTGTGGCAGTGAGCACACGAGTTGTATTATGAGTGCACTGCATCTGAGCGTTATTAGGCAAACAGCAGCAGCTTAAACGGAGGTCCCCGGGGCTCACGTCTCGGAGCGGCGCTGGGCTAATCAAGACGTGTTGACTTCGAAGAGATAAGTCCTATCCATCAGAACTGTCAAAGCGCAGCGAGGTACGGGGATAAGGAAGACACAGATGAGACGAGCTGGAGGTACCACACATTTAACAGCCTAATAAAAATAGTTACATTTCTAAATGCCAGTGGAAGATAATTCATGATTGTTAGTGATTTTCCAGTGACCTTATAACAGTCTGTTTTATTCAAAGTGCAAATGAAATACTGCAAAAATGTGGTTTTTTTGTTTTTGTTTGAAAAGGTCAAATAATCAGGGTCGACATTTGCATGCACCAGGGTTGAAAAAACGTCCTAATTTATTTCAAACCTTTTATTCAGGAATGTTATATTCCAATATTCTTAAATGTATGTGCATGTTGAACTACTATAATCAATGTGTAACTGATTTGCAGCAGTGTAACTGATTTGCAGTTTGTATCATTATTTCCAAATATTTCCAGAACAGTGTACAGTATTCCTGTATAGTGCCATTCTTCTTTATTTGTGTCTTATCCCAGCACAGTGCCACCCTGCTGCCCAACAAAATGAAGAATATGTATTTTTGAAAGACCACAAATCAAGTGAAAGCAAATTGAAACGTGATTTAAGTCTTAAAAGTGGGTTTTTAGGTATTTAGGTTTTTTGGTATGACTCAACAAGCTTTTCACATCAAGAGACTGAAATATTTGTCCATTCGTAAACTCAAGTTTTTATTCAATTCAATCTTGTGTTTCCCTGAATCACAATAATTAACAGGACTACCGAAGGTCTTTAAAATAATGTTAAATTCGCCAACACAGATTGAAGAATGAAAACATTTGGTCTTTCCACAAATTTTCATTTGAGTTCAGAGCTTGTCTTTGACTGGGCTATTGAATATTCAGTTTCAGTTTAAGCCATTTCATTGTCTGAAAAGCCTTTATGTTTCGGAAAAATGCTAAGTTGCTATACATGGATATACATTTTCTTCAAGCAAAACTTCTACAGAATCATTTCCGGAATAAAACACAGAGTCAGATTCAGTGGAACAATAAGTAAGAATGATGGGAGTGGCAGGTGGCCGTGTTCAGGACGTAAAAAGAGAAGAAAAATGCCTCAAACATGCATGAACAACTATAACATGGTCAATTGTGAAAAGTCCCCTTTACAGTTCAGTCTAGTAGAGGCATACATGTATTTATGTGGCCTTTTGTCTTATGTTTAATAAATTAAGTAGTACGTAGCAGTCAGCAATGAGACGTTTTTAGATTTTAATTTTTCCCCCATTCTCCAATGTTTTATTCTAATAATCGTTCTTTGTAATTGTGCCATAACCCCAAAGCAAATTTCTAGTTTGTGAATGTTTTAATCTTCAATGGCAATAAATCAATCAGTTTCTTAAATAACATAATATAAAAAAGGGTTTGGTTGTTGCTGAAATAAACTCACCTCGTACACGTTGAACTGGCTCTGGCCTCGAGATAGCTCTCTGTAGCTGGTGCTGAACTCGCCAATGAAGTCATGACTGTAATAGAAATGAGAGATAAAACAGAAATGTTGCCATACCTCGCTGTTGTTAATAATTTATTGTAATTAAACATGCAATCGCAATGGTCATCCTCAAAGATCAAACGTTACTAAGTCAGCCAACACTGAATAATTGGTTTTGAATAACATAACACATGTAACAAGTTATTAATGATTTGGTAATACTTCTGAAATATTTATTTTAGTGTGTTAAAATGTATCACACTTGAGTCTTCCCAAAGAGTCTTGTCAAATATGCCTTTTTGAGTGGATTTAATGTGAACGAGTGATGTTTCTTCAGCACACGCAGTAAGAGGCTCTATGTAGATAGTTTATAAAGACAGAGAAATCACTCCCTTCCACTACTGTCAGAAAAATGTCACTGTGTCTCAGTGCGTCAGACTCATTCCTGAGCCAGAGCTCCCGAGTCTTACCAGCTGCTGACACAAGCTACAATTATTACAGAACCAGGAAAAATCACATTCTTTTCAGACTTTTTTTGATAATATATAGTGATAAATAATGATAATAGAGCTACATCAGTCTATTTTTACCTGTTTATGTGTCCCAGATAACAGGCCAACATTCATTCATTCATTCAAGGTTAGGGTTAGAGTATTCTTAGTCAAAAATACAATTATGTTTTGTATTGTATTCAAAAGCAAAGAATAGAAAAATAGAACCACATATATTAAAATGAAAGTAGATTTAGTATTTAGTCACAGAGTGTCTACTGTTGTCAGTACAAACCCCAGCAGGTGGTTTGCTTTGGTAATCAGTGTTTAGGATCTACATGTGTCACAGACAGCAAGTTTGCACATTGCACACTATCAAATGAGCCATAACGAGTTGCGAAAGCGGTTCGAGGCAAGGCCCAGGTTTGCACATGGCCTTTGGGAAGTCAATCATGTATATATATATATTTACCTCTGTTGGTTTTACATGCGCCAAGGTTTCAGGGATGAGTATGATATTACACTCATTTTACTTTCGTAAACGGGCCCGTTCACAAGTCACGGGTGTATACTTGGTCTAAAGTCACTCAATGGTTTGAACAATGTTGCACATGAGCACTATATCAAATTGTTAAAAAAAAGCCGGAGATACTGCAAAGAAATTTACAAAAAAGAGCAGGCTCCTCGTTTGAAGTGCACAGCGTCTAAACGACAAAGGAAAATGATGTAGTTCCAGCCCCCGGCGTGTGTTCTGTTCTACTCTGAAGGCTGTTTCTCAACGCTTGCGCTTTCACCCCTATGAAACACTGTTTCCATGTAAACAGGAGGCCAAACCGATACCCAACTCTACCGTTTTACTGTCGCAGCTTCCTCTTGTTATCAGCACAATAGTGAAATGCATAACATCATCATTTGATTAATTGTGTTAATTAGCTCACAATGTACTGTATGTGCAGAAAAAAACCATTTTTTTCTGTAAATTACAAATAACTTGGGCTGCGAGCTACTTAGCAGAAAATTATGTGAACTCCAAGTAACAAGTACACATATGCTCAGTGGGGAGGAAAGATAGCTCTGCATTAATTTGATATGAATTCTCCAGCAAGAAATTTGCACTGTGTGTGACATATGTGTGAGAGGAAAACACACCAGCATATCCAGCATTTCCAGGTATAACATTGTTGCCACATAATTTTGCAAAAGCAGCCATGAATCAGCGAGCCTTTATGTACTTCTTACTTCAATCAAAAGCTGTTTATATGATTATAGCATACCTGCCATCTCTGTCCCAGTCATACACCTCCACTTTGATTGTTCTGTTGGGGAGAAAAGAAGCAAATCATTACGAATAAGATTCTATTAAAACATTTGTCTTTAATGTCCTCTTCACAGATCATCTCGAGCTGCAATCAGAATCACAAAAGAGCAAGACAATAGAGGATTTGGTGTGACGGCCAGAGCCATCGTCACACAGAGACAATGCATGTGGGGGCTACGTCCAGGGCTTCATTCGCAATGGAGAAATGACAAGATTTCAGACAATTGGCATGAGTTTGTGGAAGAGACACATACAGTTGTTGTTAGTTGTCAAGTAAAGATGGAACAGAACATAAAGTGTCAAACCTAAATATTTTTACAGTGTAGAGAATATCAAGATTAAGGGATCCTTTATTCATCCCAAAGTGGGATTTCAGTGTTGCATCACCAGTTACAGAACAGTGGGAATGAGTAACACACAGCAAACTCTAGCAGTCTTTAAGAAGAAACAAGTATAAAATCTCTGTCTTTAGCATAATGAGTAAAAAAGACTCAAACTTATCGGTATACAATCAATAGGGGTCAAAACCATTCAATTCTCTTGAAATAGTGGTGGTATAGTTATATTTTTCATTGTGTCATTATGTCATTACACTGTAAATGCTAAAGCTAAAAAAATGAGTAAAATAATAAAATAAGTAAATGTATTTTGCTGTCAGACCACTGATGCATTTTTCTGCTTCCATTGCTGCAGCCTCCACAGGTAATATGTTTCCTCATCTCCAAATACATACTCTCGTCTGCATCCCATTACAGCGGACAAGGAAAAAGGGCCAAATGGAAAATAGCTAGTGTCAGATCAGAGCCCATCGAAATCCTCCACCACAGGGTCATTTGCGTCTGACAAAAAGCCCAACGAAGAGGTGAGAGGATGGATGACAAATGGACAGAGACACTGTTGAGCAGACGACAGGAACAAGTAGGGGACTGTGAAGAGGAGCGGGTCATTGCAGGAGAAAAATCAAAGATTACGACTTCTTTAAGTCAAGGTAACAAAAGGTGTATTAATAGTAGAACTTGATAATTGACAAACGTTCGGCTTTTGTACAAGTGACTTGAAAACTCCTATTGATTAATAACGGCTTATTAACCGAGGTCGAGGTCTGTATGGAGAAATATCAGACCGCGGCCTTAATGTACAGACCGAGCCGTGGCGAGGTCTGTGCAAAAACTCCAAGGTCTGATATTTCTCTGTACAGACCGAGCAAGCAAGGTTAATAAATGTTTTATTATATGACTCTCGTCTGTGTCTTTACCAATGCTTTTGAGATATTTGTGAAGTATGTTCATGTCACAAGATATCAAATGTGATACGCTCTGTTCGGACCAATTGTCATGGTAACGGTCCGAGATGGGAAAATATCAGACCGGTAATCAGCCAATCAGAGCGCGCGTACGGTCCAAGTCATATAATAATACTGTTTAAATCATCTTAAATTACAGGTTCCATATCACTTTGCCTGAGGCTACATGGAAACACACAGATTGAACACAAACAGTTGACAAACAGTTTGCTTTAAAAAGTTGCTGTTATACCGCAGGATGTTGAAATAAGTTGTTAAACATGCTAAATATTGATTGTCTTATAAAAAAGTCAGATGTGGAAAAATGCTTTTTCTCTTCTGTATGTGTGTCTTCATTATTATTATTAGTTAATTTACAACGGATTGCCCCTTGAGATGAATCACAGTTGAAGGTTGCTAAGGAGATAAAAATGCAGTGTGGGGGCTCCTCAGGGGAACATCCTCGCACCGTTCCTTTTCATTACACATCAGACTTCAGACACAACAGGGACGGTTGTGTCCTACAGAAGTTCTCAGATGACTCTGCCATCATCAGACTGATCACCGAGGACAACTACGCAGCCTACAGAGGACTAACACAGGACTTAATGGACTTGTGTCAACGGAACCACCTCCTCATCAACACAAGGAAGACGTAGAAGATGGTGGTGGATTCCTGCAGACGGCACATCCAGGGAGTACCACTCTTGGACACCTTCTATGACTCTGTGGTGGCATCAGCCGTCTTGTACTGTGTGGTCTGCTGGAGCAGCAGCATCACAGAGATAGACAGAAAGAAGATGTGTTTAGTTTCCGCAGGTCTTTCCTTCTACAGTATCTGAGGTCAGACTGTACACTGAGAACTGCTGAGGGGTTACAAGTGATACATCTGTAAATAAGTAAATGCAACAATCATGTACTCAGGCCCACCCTTGAGGCAAATGAAAATCCGCTTGCACAAGTGACTATCAAATGTGGCATCAAGCTGTACGTGAACGTAGAGCGTTGACGCTCTAGCGAACTAGTTCCCCAGTATCTGACGCAGAACTTGTTTAGCCGGGCGACGTCTGAGCCGGCATCTCAGGACCCACACTAGATGTTGGTGTTACTGGATTCGAACCCTAGCCTCCCAAGTTCCAGCCCTGCACCCTTCCAACTGAGCCATCCAGCTGTTATCAAGTGGCTGGAATAGTGTACAAACACTGTTTCGAAAATCTACATCTTCTCCTCTGACCTGCAAATGACGTCATCATCAGTATGTCGACATGGTGAAAGTCCATGCAGACATCAAGTATCCAAGCAAGCTCCCCACTCTGCCTTTGCCATCCATCAGTCAATCACATCAACCAATTGATCATATCAACCAATCGATCACGTTGACGTACTGAGCACCTCTGATTCAGAACTTTGTCAACATATTAAGAGCTTCTGAGGTTGTGTTAAAATAATGATGCAGACTTCAGGTTTTTCTGTTTTTCATCTCCTCCTCAGGTCATTGTTTGTCTTGGTTGTGTCAATTGTAAACACCCAGTGTCAATGAAAATAAAAGAAGCATGTCAAAGCGCCCTGATGTGCATTGGCTTTAAGAAAGGAACATTTAAATTCATACACTTTTTATAACAATGGATGTTTGTGTTTTGTCAAACGAGGTGCCACGGAATGACTGGTCAACAAACAAACCCATATTTACCAATTACTGTGGCCCACAATCAATCCCCTTCTCCTCAGCTCAGATGCATTTTGTCTAGGCCTTCATATTCTTTTTTTGTCCACGTAAAGTGGATGTTGGCCATTACCCCATGCTTTGAAGAAGTGACAGGAGTCTCACAATGATTGGCCTAATCTGGTGCGCTCATTGCTTATTGTGTTGGGCTGATTGCTGCACCGACAGTAAAGGCACCTTTTCTTTTGTTTGGTGGCCAACAGAGCTCCTGCTTATCTCACATCCCACACACAGATTTGAGGTGTACTTGTGTGCGCTGTAAGAGTTAGTCCTGTGCATGTCTCCTCTTGATAAGCCCAGTGCGATTCACCTCTCCTAATAAGCTTACAGAAGCGACCTGGAGATTACTGCTTTAGCTGCGAGACCATCAGATGACTGCTATCGACTCGTATTGGAGAGAGGAGACACACCTCAATACACTAAGGTTGCTTGTGTTTATTAACTTCATTTTAAGGGTACTAAATGGGTAATAATTAAAAAACAGTTATTAATAATACTTACCGTAATACTAAAACCGTTTCATGGACCCTTGCATACCCTTGGGTTCACTGCTTTACTCTGATAATGATTGAATTGTGTTGACTAATTCATTTTCATCTAAATGTGGAAGATAATTAAAATATTTTTTCTCAACTAAGTTTTCTTATTTAAAACTTGTGTACTGATTTAAACTATAGGCTACGTGTTATATAACAGCTAAAGAGCAAGTTTTCCCCGGCTATTTTAGTTTCAATCATTTCAAATGCTAAATATACAGTAGTCTGCAAAACTTTTAACTATATCATCCATGCAGAAGTAAACTTTCTCCAGACGGATCTCTACACACAGTATACACTTGTACCAACGGCCCAAAGTTTCAGTCTCAGCAGCAGTTTCCAGCTGCTGAGAATTTTTCCACCACTCTCAAAGTCAAACAATAAAGCACAAATGGAAGGATGTCTTCTCTCTTTCTGTTTGTACACTTTGATTTGTATATCTACATATCTCTCTATCCAATGTCTCTTCACAGGGCGGCACGGTGGCTGAGTGGATAGCACTCTCGCCTCTCAGCAAGAAGGTCCTGGGTTCGAATCCCGGTCGGACCAGGGCCTTTCTGAGTGGAGTTTGCATGTTCTCCCCGTGTCTGCGTAGGTTTCCTCCGGGTACTCCGGTTTCCCCTACCACTAAAAATATGTCCAATAGTTCTGGCATGCGCTTCCTGTACTGGCGACCCCGCTCCCATCTCTGTGTGGAGTGAGATACAAATGCCCAAAATTAACAATTGTAAACCGCTTTGAGACTCAGATCTGCAGTGAAAAGGCGGTATATAAATAAAAACTTACTTACTTACTTACTTACTAGCTGTCGTATCCAGTCCTTAACATGCTCACTGAGTTTAGTCTGACACTCCAGGACATGAAGATTAAACACTAAAGCTAACTCAGACCTGCTCCTCTGTAGTTGATGACTTCAAGAAATAGGTCTTATCACCTTTTACGTTGTCTTGGGACATACACGTCTTACTGACCTGTCATAGTCTCCGTTGCACAGCGCTCTCACTGGAATCTTAAAAGCCTGCCAGACCGGGTTCAGGGTGTTCTTTATCACTTCTGTCTTGTGGCAGATAGTAAACCTGTCGGCCAGAGAAACAACAATTACAACAGTACAAATGTTCATTAAAACATTCAGTTCAATATGGTTATCTAAATGTACCCAATAAATTCATTTTTTAATTAATTACAGCATTTAATTATTTGATATGGACAGATACAGCAAGACCACGCTTATTTTCAAAGATGCACACAGACCCACAGACTGATGCTCTGGTGTTAGCTCCATAGAACCACACAGACCCACAGACTGAGGCTCTGGTGTTAGCTCTATAGAAGCACACAGACCCACAGACTGATGCTCTGGTGTTAGCTCTATAGAACCACACGGACCCACAGACTGATGCTCTGGTGTTAGCTCTATAGAAGCACACAGACCCACAGACTGATGCTCTGGTGTTAGCTCCATAGAACCACACAGACCCACAGACTGAGGCTCTGGTGTTAGCTCTATAGAAGCACACAGACCCACAGACTGAGGCTCTGGTGTTAGCTCTATAGAACCACACGGACCCACAGACTGAGGCTCTGGTGTCAGCTCTATTTTGTATGATCTGGTTTTCAGCCTGTCTCAAGTGGTGGGTTGTGTTACATAAAATATAAAATAATGATGCAGACCTCAGGTTTTTCTGTTAAAAGAAAAAAACTATCACTGTAGATCAGTGTTATTCAGCAGTTTGCTCAGACTTCTTTGGTAATAAATTGTAAAAAATTATTTGCATTTGTGCAACTTATTCCTCTGTCAATCCTGGGCCAATCCACATGAAGCAAACTGTCACAGAGTCTAGAGTTTTAACTCCGAAAAAACATCAATTGCCACGAACCTTTATTGAACGCTCTAAGGTTGTCAAAAGTAACAAAACATATTTTTTATGAATACTAACGCTGGTATCGCAACCAGAAAGTAGAGATACTAAATAATCTCTCACACACAGGACATTGACATGTATTGAACATTATTTAATATTTCAAACTATATCAGAAGAACTTATGTGTGTGGCCCCTAAATAGTATAGGTATGTATAGTAGTATTTTTTTTGTAAAAAATCCAGTATTTATAACTAATTGTGTAAGATTGAGTATCTGGTATGTTCTATTATTGATATCGAGTTTTAGTATTGTGACAACACTAAAACTCTATGTATTTGTGAACAAAGTCTCAGAACAAGTGGTTAACATTAGTGGTTAACATTATATCTTCAAACTACTAAAATGCACAGTAAGACACAGCCGTGATATCATGTTAGAATCAACAAGAGGTCTCCCAGTTCTAATTATCTATGTTCCCAAACGTACTCTTCCCCCCTCCAGGTTTGTCATCACAGGAATCAAATTAGTAATAATAAGGCAAAGCTCAGGAAACCCACAAGCTTGATCAACTGGTGCTTATATTAAAGGGCCCATATTACGCTTTTCTCTGCTTTAAACATGATTACAGTGCTATTCGGCCTTCATACACATGCCCAGAGTAGTTTTTTCATTGATTCTGTCACTCTTTAGTTAGAGAGCGATCTTTCTCCTTCCCCCTCGGAAGGCAGTGAAATGCCCGGGTCCACTTCTGTGACGATTACCACTCTGATGACGAATATGACGCGCATAAGCCCGTTTGCTTTGTATTTAAAATGGTTTCTAAATACTTTTGTCAAAATGGGGTAAACAATACACAATAAGTATAATGTTTGTTGTCAAAAATAATAAAAATAAAAATAATATTAAAAGTCGGGAGGTGATTGACAGCGAATCAGCGCGCGCAGCCAGTTCCCAAGTCTGGCTCCCGAGTCCAGCGTCTGTGGTTTGGTTCCGCGGGCGGGGGGAGGAAGGCTCACGGTCAGAGGAGCAGACTACTCTCTGGATCAGCCTGTTTGATTCGAGGTGACATCACCTCTAAACAAGAGATGGCTATAATCTCACAAGCTCTGAGTGTTGTATGGTGTATCACTCAAATTATTATCTCACATGTGCATAGGATTGACTGTGAAACATGAAGAAAAGCGTAATATAGGACCTTTAAGGCTACCAGCCATTTAAAAATTGTTCAATACAAAACCTTTAAGAAATATGAATTCTACAAAGTTAGGGGAACACTCTTAATATTTACAATATCCCTCCTGTGCAAAGACATCCATGCAATTCCCACCAATCCCCTTCTTCCTGGCAGCTCAGATCTGAAGCGAATCAATGAAACCAATTTCCTCTGGCACAGGCAGCATTTACCCAGAGATGAAAGAGGAGAGAGAGGAGGGGCCAGTACTCACGTGCCATCCTCATTGCTGCGATAGAAAACCAGGAAGGGGTCCGATTTGCCAAAGAAATCCTTTTTGTCCAATTTGTTTCCACAAAATTGCATCATGACGGATTCCTAACAGGAAACAGCAGCAGATAGAAGGCACAGTGTAAATAACTAAACAAACAGTGGCTTGATTATCTGCACATCCGAAACCTGCAAACGGTCTCCTCACCCTGCAGTTGTTCAGCTCCTCGGCTTTCACGATAATGGTCCCACATTTCTTCCCTGAGATCCCACTGCAACCAAACAGAGCGTAAAAGAAAACACCCATTAGTCTCCCATTGGAAAAAAATTGGTAACAATTATACAAAGCAGGTGAATGTTTCTTGTTTAGCAGAGGTACAGATTTAATACAGCGGTTATCAAGGGACAGGTTGGGGTAATAATGATAATAAGAATAATATATATGACAAATATTCCAGCCTAAATAAAACAGTATATAACGCAACATGGAGATTATTTTTAATAGGCCCTTAATAATCATAATAAAAAGGATATTAATGCATCAGTTTTATAGAGTGCCTTTTAGGAGGCTTCACGTATCATTTTTGATCACTCCATGCAGGATGGTGATAAACTACTACTGTAACCACAGCTGCCCTGGGCATACCGGACAAGAGTTCGGTCACCGATCACTGAAATACATTCTGATAATGAGGGAGAGAGATCTGGTTTGTCAGGCTTTTCATGGGACATTTTGAATGTCAAAACTATCTTCAGCAAAAAAAAAATCCAAAATTATGTTCTATTGTATAGCGTCATCTAATTAATATAATAAAAACCACAAAATGCCACCTTTTTTGACTGCACATGTGAACTGGTCGCCCCGGCCCGCCTTGAAGCCGCTTGTATATGTACCCACGCAAGCTAAACCTAGATTCCTAATACTTCTAAGAATTCAAACTTGAATATGAATATAAAAAGTCCAAGCTCCGTAGGATATAGAGCTGGATCATTTTTCTTCACTTTGAGAGTTCGTTCACAGCAGGAAGCTCTCCACTCTCATTAATGACAGGAATTGGACCTCACAGTGCGTGTGATTCAAGTCTACTTTAACTCCAACACAAGGAATCAGACAAGAGTTATCAAGACACGGCAGACAGATCGCTTATGAAAAAGATTCTGCTTATAAGAAAGATATATCTGGTTTCTTAGGCTTTTTATGGGACATTTCCTTGAATCTATACATGTAAAAACGAACCCCAAACCACAATAATATGTGTAAATATAGTTTTTACAAAATCCAATTCACTACAGTTAAAGACAAAATGATGATGTATTATTTTCCAGAGACCAGAAATGCTGTTGCCATGGATACTATGGAATTAGAACACAGCCCTTAGGTCTGAGACGCTTCTGTTAATGTACATTTTTCTGTGCAGACATTAGCTTAAAAAACATATAATATTTTTGTTTCATCATCACAAGGTTTGAGGTTATTTTCTATGAGGTTATACTGACTGAGAGTTTACATGGGATGATATGTGAATAACTCGTCGAGTCCAATTCAAATTGATCAAAAATACAGTCATACAGATTTTTTTGTAAGGTCAACAGAGTAGTACAGTGTAGGATCACAGTCAGTGACTTTCACAATTTTCTAATGCAAAATATACATTTAATAAATTTAAAAAGTACAGATTTTTAGTTTTGTTGGCTTAACAGATTTATTTACGTGATTTTGCTGTGCTTTCAAAAACTGTAAATGTGTTTACATATATTTTCCATAATCTGCTTTACATTGCCGTAGTTTTTACAGAAATGATCTGGTAACAAAAGTTGCCAGAATTTTACCATAAAATCGACTGATTTTTTTTTTTTAAGTGCAGTGAAGACCCATACTTAGAATACTGAGAAGTATGGCTTGTTGAGATCTGTTGTGTTAAATGATTTTCTAGCAGTCCTCCCTCTTGAAATCTCACTGGATCTTTTTCTGATACCGTAAAATATTGCCACATGACCGCCGCCATCGTCATTGTTTCTTCTACTGAGGAAAGTGTGCAGGCGTGCTCAATCGGTATCTCTTTGCACGTGTCTACCATCGGCGAATGTTCTCTTTATTTGCAGATGGCCGATGATAGTTAACAAGGCAAACATCGGCCAAAGTTCAGCCGATGCATCCCTAATCACGATATAACTGTTTCATATCAGTCGATATTGATAATTATTGATTTTTCTTTTTTTTACAAAATAAATAATAAACAAACCTAAACAAATAATATTTAGGTTATTATTATTAATAATAATAATAATAAACATTTTTTTTTGTTGCATTTCCCAGAATGCCATGCGCTTCTTGGCGTTTCTTTCTAACAGAGTTAAGTGAAATTATCAAACATTCTATTGAACGCATTTTCTAGTGATATTGATCACTTGGCTATTGCAATACATATCGTCATTGTTTTATCAGCCGGAGGTCTGGCTAAATTACAGAATATTGACAACATGGCTAACGCAATTTTGGAGATTAACAATGTGTTGAAGCAGGGTCTGGCTAATTTTAGGACAAATTACAGTTTTAAAGTTTGACTAATAAGCCAAAATTAGGCCTTTAAAAGCCCCCTTTTCTCCATGGGATATGTGCCCTTTCTATTGGCTAACGTCGCACATTCATAAGAAAATAATAGATACTGAAAAAGATTATTTAGAACTTTGTGACTGTGGATTGGCCCACGAATTAATATAAGCTCAAAGACTCCACATCTCACTTTTGACAGTTACCATAGTAACAAGGCTGTCCTCACCAATATTTCAAACTTTAGGCAACAAAGTCCAAAGTAGTTTTTTATGCAGTGGACAAAATATAGCTGTTAATTTATGTCCTTATACATGTCCATGGATCATAGTGAGCGCTAACAAAGCTGATTGCATTGTGATTCTCTTGTTTGACTCCCCGGGAGAGAGCAGCTACTCCCAGCAGAGAGATAATGAGTAGCACCAAAGGAAGCCCACCCCCAATGGACTCTCTTCACCTGTTTAACTGTATCTGTCTCAGAGTCAATTCGTCTCTCAGTCATGTTATCTCTGGGTGTTGGTGAAAGATGCATACAAAAACACCATGACAGTTCCCTCTGGGTGACAAGATATTGAATGGGACAAGCTGGCTCGTTATTTCGCCTTTTGCCCCCCTCATGTGTTTTTTTTCATACAATGTGGTCATTATTTTGGAGCAAGCGGACACTAGATTCCAGGCTGGAGTTAGTGATATGGATGCGACAGTTTCTCTTGTACATGCCTCTCCGGCAAAGACATTAGCATAGAAATGTGTTTATGAAATGGGGTTCCACAATGTCGAGAGTATAGTGTAAGTAAACAGAGCTACAGTTTCAACAGAGCGAAGGAGTCTCTGTTTAGGGTGTAGTGTAGGAAAGTTCCTAAATACAGTAAGTGTGAATAACAATGTTACAGGGAGTTAAACTATACGAAGAGATTGTTATTTACTGTATGTATGAAGCAAGCTATCATCATTATATTAAATACAGAAAAGGAAGCAAAAGAATTTCCCTCACCATATTTTTCAGAATAATGAAGTATACCTTCACTTTATCTTGCGTACCTTTTTATTGACAGTGTGTAAATAAGGTCAGGTGGACTTTTCCGAATTTGGAAAAACCATAAATAACAGTGGCGGGAAATAAACAGCTCTCATAGCTTGATGAGAAAAGTAATATTGGTATAGCCCAGCTATACTGCAATGGTGTTTTCTGCAAAGCAGAGTTAGTGGTTACGAGTGTGGAGAGATCATAGCACCTTGAATACCTTCTATGTAATCAAGAAGCAAGCATTTGCAATCAGACGCTGGCGAAAAGTAGCTAATTAAGAACAAGACCATTTCTAAAAAGAACTCACTATTCAGCATATACAACTGAAAAGAATCTTGATTGTGGTCATAACTTTGAAAATACAGCTCATTCAGTAGTTTGTGTAAAATTGAGACACATCATTGACATCAGGCCCTGTAAAAGAGCAAATGTCCTTGTGATCCATTGTGTGCATTTCTTTACAAATGCAACAATCAGCACAGTTTTCAGCACCAGCTTTTGTTTGAGATTTGTTTGTCTCACTCTTTGATCACACAAGAAATTCCTAAACACACAAAAGTGCTGTAACAAAAGTACACGTGAGACATATTTTAGGCTGAAGAGCACAGTGTACTGTATGTTGTGCATGCTCCAGGCTTCTACCACGGGGAGCAGAGATTGATGAGCCTACGTTAGACCATTCAAATGTATTTCTTTTTTTTGGAGAGTACTCAATTAATATAAGCTTTTTGCTTCATCCAATTCATTTTCAAACCAAATAAAGGGACATTAAAGATACTGCGCAGAACCCTCAAGTTCCCAGGCCTCTGGCAGAGGACCCGAGCTGAGAGAGGGATAACCGCTCGTGGATGGTGGGAAGAGAATATGTATCGATAGATAATATATAGATATATATCTATATTATACTATAGATAGATAAAATATAATCAACTTAAGCTACTGTTGTGCACCTTTTTTAAGTATTACCCTTCTGCTAACTATGTGAAAACTTCTGTTTCTCTGGGGTTCTCTGACAAAAAACAAAAGATTTCCACAGCTGGATATCAGTGTAGTTTTAAAAAAAACACATATTATTCTCTTGCCTTCTAATAAGAGGTTGTGGTCTTTTGTGCACAAAATGTTAATACGACTTTTTATGTTGGGACAAACCAAATAAAAAGTGAGGAATTCCAGCTTTTGATATTAAATTTCAATAAGAAATTCAGGATCATAAAAACATTTGGCTTCACATCAACTATTCTTCACCCTATCAAAATCAGAATCAGAATCATAATCACAGACTAGGAAATTGCTTTGGCTCTCGGTGCAGACAGTCAAAAGTAGAGAATAGAGTAATGTATAGTAAGAATCAGCATACATTTCCAAGATATAAAAATCTAAATTACTACAATTATTGCAATATACAATATACAAGTGCATGCATAAGCCAACACAATTGTAGCCAAACTTTGAGTCTCCTCATCACCGTTGTTTCTTCTGTTTCTAAGTGTCTCTCCCACCGCTCCTCAAATTCCCACCGGAGTTTGATTGAACAATGTAATTAGCTGTAATTAGCACTCATCAAAATGGTTAAAGATCCCCCTGTCGTGAGCGGCTGCAGGTGTGTGCCTCTGCCCTGGATCCAACAATGCCTCCATGACAGCAGCTGGCCACTTCGTACCTGCTGCCCGGATGTGCACTGACAACACACTCATGTCCATTTTCCACACCGATCATGGGCTCCAAAATGACTGCAGGATGTCAACATTTGAACTACCTTTGGTCACCCAAGAAATTCATTTAAAAGAAGAGACAAATTACACAATGGAAAACCTAAACGTGTTTTTGCTGCTGGCACAATGATAAGGTAAAAGTGATTGGCAGTTTAAGCACAAATGGAGTCACAAATTAAATGTCATACTCATTTAGCAAAACAAATTGGTGGGACTCACAGTTCGTCTCCTAAAAACAGAGATGGTTTATTTTCAAAATAACAAAGCATTGAAGATGAATGATTATAAGCATATCTGTCACACTGCGCCCAAGACACACAAAAAAGTTTGTTTTTCTAACACCAGAAGTGCCCCATCTGCTGCATGTACATAACAGCAAAATAACTACATTTTATTTGAGAGTAACAAACTGCATCACACAACTCCAGAGAACAAATGATCTGACAAAATGTAGAAAATAACTGAATAATAAAAAGGATCTACTATTCTCTTATTTGACTGCAATGGATCTACCATTATGTTGTTGTATTTCCAATAAAGCATGAATTCAAATGACCCGAGATAACACCTAAATATAAACTTATGAAAGTGTCATTGTCACGTGACGAGCGGAGTGAAGACTCAAACGCAGGAATGCAAAAAAATTATTATTTAATAAATTAAATGTCCAGGTGAAAACAAAACTCAAAATACAGAACCAGGAACACAAAATCAGGAACAGGACAGAACAGAAGTTGACAATACAATGGACCAGCAACAAGAGGAGAGAAGCACAGGGTAATTATAGACAGAGACACAGGTGAAACACATCAGGGCGGGGCAGACAATCAAGACAGGGGCAAACAGGACGTCAAAGTCAAACTAAAACAAAGCACAGAGAACAGATATCAAAATAAAAGCTAAAGTCCAAAATAAAATCCACACCATGACAGTCATATTATGTTATATTAGTGTGTATAATGTAACTTGCAATACCACTCCGGGCCGATGGGGGTGGACCTGGAATAAGAATTAGCCAATGCTAACATATAGCATCTTCTTACGGTCAGCACTAGATCATATACGGAATCGGGACGGAAGCGGAAGTAAATATAACAAACTACCTATTCATGCCTAAACTTAACCAGCCATTCCCATAAATTAACCCCAACCCACCCTTAACCCTAACCATCTTACTCAGACGCCTAAAACTTAACCAGTCACCACTTAAGGACTTATTAGTCTGAAACTAATTCGAAAGTAGGATTGTTATTTCCGGTTTCGTCCCGATTCCGTATATGATCTAGTGCCGACCATCTTCTTACCTCTCAAAAACGTCTTTACAGGATGGTCCAAAAGTTGGCTCTTGGCCCAAAGCTCCGTTCCACATGTGTCAATGCTGAGGGGGGTGGATTTTTTTGGACCACTCTAGTTTACTCGCTGTGAATTACTCGTTTAAATGAATGGGGCTCGTGCCGGCTGACGCATGTGCGTTTTTTCACATTTTCCGGCCCCTGCTGCCATTTTGAATCACTCCATGAAAGCCCAATTTTTGGCCCATTAGTTAGAACGGCGGAGATAGGCGTGACTACGTTCATTAATATATACAGTCTATGGTCACGATTGATGTGTGCAAAATATGAAAAAGTGACAGTAAACTGATATAATTATGTAATGATAAGGACTGTGAACAACAGTTAGAACTAGAATACATCAATGGAAAAATAAACACAAAAAAACACAAACTACCTTTTTCAACAAGGTGGAAAAAATATCTTGTCTTGTGCACGTCACTATGAATTGTTCATGAAATAAATAATGATAATGATGCACCTAGTGTTTGTTAGGTATTTGTTACGTAAGGTCAGTACAGTAGCCTTATGCCCAGCGACTAGAAAAATAGATGAGGAAAATTAAGTAGAATGTTGGATAGTCAAATTTATTCCATAAACAAATAAAAAATACTTTACTAAAAATGCATGATATCAGCAGCATCTCTTTTATCATTCTAATTAACTCCAAAATTCAAAATTCCAACCCCCTTTTGCAACGTACTCTACATACTGCAATCTAAAAAGGTGCGTACCAAACCTATGCCATTAAGATAATCAAAAGAACCAAGAGCAAATATTTTCCCACAAAAAAACACCTTTTTGAGGAAATTATACAAGGTAGGACAATTAAAGAGCCTGCACTTAAGCCGATTGGTGAGTGTTTCTCCCCCCAGACTTTATCTCAAAGGCCACTCTCGCCACAAGACTCGGCTCCACCCTCACTGCACACGACAGCATTTTGCACTTAAGTCCAACCTGGAACTTGTGAAGAAAACATGAAAGCAGGTGCACATACGGGCAGAGCGGGGAACAGAGGTTCTCTGCTCAAGTGCATGTTTCAGCGCATTAATATAGCAGCATGCGGGCCATAGCTATTCGCAATAACACAAAACAGTGACGCTTTTTGGAGGTAGACAGAAGCTGAAACCTATTACTTCCTTTTGACATCAATATACTGGATTTAAGTTACTCTCAAGTTAATTTTTTAATGTTTTTTGTTGTTTTGTTTATTTCGCCGCTAATTGATCAAAAAGAACTATTGAACTTAAAGTCTAAAGTTGTGCAGGCTGTCGGACCAACAGACCAGTATTTTTCAGAAGGGTGGGATGGTGGCTGGCTCAATACCAGAGCTGAGTGAGTAGATTATGATGGTGTTGAAGAGCGGTGTGAGAGTGGGGATGCAGGTTTCATGAGGAGAGAGATGGGACAGAACTTAATGTCTGTGAGGAATTTGGTGGTGGCCTGAAAAATATAAAGGTGAAAAGGAGAAGAAACTGTGGTCTGTTGGGTCAAATTCCAGAAGGGGGCGGGGAAAAAAATATATAGGTTTGACATTTTCTATTTGGTGAATGTTGAGGTGATATTGGTGAGCTGCGCCAAGGTGAAGACAGATGTTCCACAGTCAGAGAGATCCTTTCTATAAAACAGCTACACTCTCCAGCAAACTTACTATAAAACATTTAGGCAGAGTTTGGAGTTAATTTACTGTGTATTGTTCTCACTGATTAGAATAAATCCGTCGTCAAAATATAAAACTACAGGGACTCTAATTCATAAAAGGTTCAGCCATTTTTTTGACAGACAGATCAGTTACAAAGGCTTAGTGCCTGCATGAAAGACCAAAAAACATGGATGACTCTTACAGTTTTTTCAGTCGCTTTGATGCTTTTCTGAAAGTTCTCACAACTATTAGTCATTTGTCATTCGCAGAAGTTTCTCATTCATTTGAACAAATGTGAAATGCTTTTGGACATGTGAACTGTTCACTGTTTCATACAATTCTCTGCTGTTTTATAACATATCATTTGCTTCCGTCATGTCAGTCATAATACCTATGAATGCAGAACATACATACATGCATGCATGTGTCTTGTACTCAGTTACCTTACTAAATACATTAATGTGTAACTTTTCAGTAGTTATCAAATGGCTGTACTGTGTATGGTGCTGCCTCAAACATTTTCAGGTAGTGTCACCAAGATATGACTTTTGAGAGCGTAAACTGTCACAATGAAACCAAAGCCATTTGACCCGTGTTCATAAACAACGGTGTCAGGACTTGACATGAATACTTTTGTATATGACATTGCACTGTTTCTCCGGTTATATCCTGTTTGTTGGATACAACTGGAGACAAACATTCTCACAGCACTCTTCACATTTACACAACAGTTAGTGCATTTCTCAAAACAATTAGTACAAACTGCAAAACCTTGTGGATAACCTGCAAAAGTTGATCCCTCAAGCAAGTTTTCATGTCAATCAAAATAATAAGTCCTGACACCATTGTTTACATGTCTATCATGTTTTCATTGTGACAGTTTACTCTCTTTGTGTTTTCCAATGCAAAATTGGGTGACACTACAGGAAAATGCTCAAGACAGTATTTTACACAACCAAGTTACATATCACTGTACTTAGTGAGGTAACTGAGTACAGGACACATACAGTATGTATGTACTGTATGTATTTCATCTACATCACAGGGGATGTCTTTCCTTGCAAGGCAACAGATTTTGGCAACTAGTTCAACAAATGTGTATGTAATTACTCAAGTAATGAAAGGAAATTAAAGTTTCAATTTAACTGACATGACATGTTATAAAACAGCAGAGAATTGTATGAAAGTAACTGATACATGTCCAGAAGCATTTGCAATTTGTTCAAAAACTGCTAGGATGATGTGCACAAATGACTCAATATTGTGGAGGTTGAACTAATAGTTGTGAGAACTTTCATTTTAATCAGAGAAAATCCCCAAAGCGACTGAAAAAAACTGTATTAGGATATTGACTATAATAGACCAATACCAGTGTCTATATTTTTTGTGTTTGAACTGTTGATTCTCTGATCTGTGTGATTACAAGGGTTTTGTTAAGTCCTCTGAGGTGACTGCTGTTTTGATTTAGGGCCGTACAAAAATAAATCAAATGGAATAAAATTGAGTAGGTGAAATAGTGTTTGTTTTTTCACAAGCATGCATGACAACTTTCCAACTTGTGCATTCCATTTTGGATTGAACTACTTTAAAAAATGCACTCCTGTTTGCTGCTACCATGGAAACCAGAATATCTATTGTTTGTCACAGTTTGAATTTGCAACTGAACTTAACCACTGCACAAACTGAAGAAGATGTCGGTCAAAACAAGCCCCGTCTTTTTAGAGCTCGAAGAGAAGATCGCAAAGGGAAACGACAAAACCTTCTGTGGCCAACAACTGAAGCTGCAGGAGCCAAAGATGGAAAGAGACCAGATTCAAGTCTGCAGACATGAGAGCGGGGCCAGCGCTCAAGTTGGTGAGTTTGACTCTTTTTTTTTTTTGGACACAGCATTTCATTATAAAAGCCTCGACTTGCTGTTACTAAAGACTAGTGTTGTTGTTAATCCCATTTGATCTGAAACGCATTGAAGTGTGGCTCAGCGTTGAAAGGCAGCTAAAGCTGCTTATTTATTATCTGGTATTTAACAAGTTGTAAATTTTGTCTCACATTATTCTTGTTTGTGTTTTGTATGTTTTTGAGTGTATGTGAGTTTGAATAAAAGGTGAATTACAAGCTACAAAAAGTGATCTTTGTAATAGATCCATCTGCTATATATCCCTCTGTAACAGTTTAATTCTATCACTAGTTTTCACATGCATGCATTCTTTGGCAACATGCAAAAGACATGTTTTCCAATACGATACAAATGAGAACATGTTGTAGTCTGATTTGTTCCAACACGTCTACTCTTTCTTTCTGTTGGAACAAACAAAATGTATTGTTAGTGAAAAATGTAAATTGGGTACCCCAGCTTTGATTAAACTGACAATATCAACCAGTTCTTACAATCTCTTCAAAATCAAAACAGTATAAACAGATAAAAACAATACAAATACAATGGTGAATTTCATGTTATGACTTTTGCTAAAACCTTTTCATTTGTGACAACAGGTCAGACCGGGCTGAAAGAGGAGTTCCACTTGGCTTACAAGTGTGAAGTCGATCCGTCTACACCTGAAGCCCTGGATTTTGAAAAACCAGCAGAGAAGCCGGAGAGTGTGAAAAGTGTGGAAAGTGTAGAAAGTGTGGAAAGTCTGGAAAGTGCAGAGAGCGCTGTGTGTGACAGCGGAGAACCTCGGTCCCCTTCGTCCCCTCTGCAGAGCACTGCCCTGCTCGAGCACCGCACTGTCCCCTGGGACCAACACAAAGAGGTGTTTTACGACACGGCAGAAGGACCATCAAAGAGCTCCATTTGGGAGTGGATCAGAAACATCTTCAACTATTAAGACATAGACAATGTTCGAACGTTTCAAAATAAATATGTTACATGATTTAAACTGATTTGGTTTCATTTAATACTTCATCACTACATCAATACTCACACGCTGTTGATGAATGTCATTTTGAGATTGTTTTGTTGGGGATTCTGTGTGTTTTGCATATTCTATTCTTGTTCTGTTCGGATAAGTTTTGTTGAAACGTGTGGACATAGTTGTTGGACGTTCCTACATTAATGCTCAGAACCAGGTCAGTAAATCCTAAACGCCACGTTCTCAACACTGGCAGGGTGAAGTTATGCATTGTGCACATATACAAACTACAATGATGGTCATCCCTCTAAAGCTAATATATTACACCAGAATGCTGATGTGTTGGTCAAGCTATTCTAGTAGAGTAATGACTAAGAAGATAATGAGACACACACACCTTGGCATGCATTCACGTGTTGTCACGGAAACGTTCTAATACTATAATGTGAATGAGTGTTGTTTGAAATCTGACATCTCCAACATCCATCCATCCATCCATCCATTTTCTTCCCCTTAATCCATTTCTGGGTCGGGAGGTGGCAGTCAGAGCTGCACCCAGTACACAGAGCACCAGCCCCTCACTGATCCTCCTGCAGGTGGTGAGTCCACAGGAGCTGAGATCTTTCAGCGGGGGCTTCAGGCAAAGTCGGCAAAGTTGGCAAAGTTGGGTTAAGTGTCTTGCCCAGGGACACAACGAAAGCAGTCATCAGTGGGAGTCGTGAAGTGGGTCTTGTGGTGGGCTCGAACCCACGACCTTCAGGCTCAAAGGCCAATGCTCTACCAACTGAGCCACTGTCCCACATAAATAGCGTGACATGACATTTAGAGAGATGGTCTGTAATAATGTCATTATATTCATAGGCGTATTTTCATCATCATTTTTAGGCTATTATTATTAACAGTATCAGTATTTTCGGATTATGTGTGGAATCCAGTCAGTACATGAGAATGTGCTTTATTTTTCTCAGATGATAATTGCCGCCACATATTTTCACATTCTGATCACATCTCACAAAGTGTAGTAAAGGTTTCTTTACACTTTAAATCCCTGGTTTTTTGAGGACACTGTGTTTTATATTTCTCTTTTTTGAATTAATTAGATAGTGAATTACAGAATAAGTTGTATTCTAGCAGCACTTTTGGAAGAAAAGATAAATATAATAGATGAAAGAAATAATGGTGAACCTGTGATTTTCTTTGTCAGAGGCAGCGGTGCCTCTATACTAAGAAGCACATGCGATGCCATGTATAATTTAAAGATTTATTTTTTTGACTGGGCGTCAATGGTGTCAATGGTTACTCCTAGAGTAAGCTTGTGGTTTGCAGCATGGTTTGTAGCTTGTAAACACACCGGCAGCGAGTGCAGAGGGGCTGTTGCTGCTGCCCCTGCGATGTCTACAGAGAGGTGTCGAGGCCAGTAGAGGCCAGAGGACTGCTATATACCAGCAAATGTCAGATGTATGTGCCCTCATGGTCTCTGTGACTCATTTGGTCTACGAAATAAGAAAGAAATAATATTGTCAGGAACAACAGTCAGACTTGCCAGCCCTCCCTCAAATGTTTGCTACTTGTGATCTGAGCATGTGCAGCTCATCTAGTCCTCAAAGACCTATTTCTAATGTATTTTGATTGAAAGTGGTGTTCTCAAGGGTGCCCCTACTGGGAGTTGATGTGAATATGTGAGCTCCATCTTGAGTTGGCTTGTTGTTTTTAACAGGAGGATATCTTCAGACAGTAGCAGACTGGCAGCTATTATGAGCATGATACTTTGTTTTACTTTGGCTTTAATACACATTTTGTTGTTCCGCTGGGCAGATATTATGCATGAATGAGGGTAACGGCCAGAGCATATCTTCAGAGTGTGTTCCAATTATGATCGGCACTAAACATACTGATGGAGAGATGTTACCATTACCATTATGTGACCAGTGTCAAGGTAGTAAAAGTTGTTTGCATGCAGAACGCCGCCATCTTTCAGGCATCATCAGGCGTGTCAAAGTCTTTTTTGTATGGTCTGATCTAAATGTATTGGAAGTGCATTGCAAATGGATTGCAATGCACTCTACTGTGGGCTGAGCCAACAGGCACTTTCTCAGCTGAAGCTCGTCCAGAATTCTGCAACTCGACTTTTAACTGGTACTCGTAGATGCGAGCATGTGACACCGGTTTTAAAATCTCTGCACTGGCTTCCAGTTAGTTTTAGAATTGATTTTAAAATTCTTTTATTTACTTTTAAATGTTTAAATGGACTGGCCCCTCCTGCCTCTGTGATCTTTTTCTGCCCTATGTTCCCTCTCGAGCCCTGAGGTCGGCAGATCAGCTGATGCTGGTGGTCCCTAAGACACAGCGTAAGCTTTGTGGTGACCGAGCTTTTTCTGTTGCAGGTCCACGTCTTTGGAATCAGCTACCCATTGAGATCAGACAGGCTCAGTCTCTGCCTGTTTTTAAGTCACTTCTTAAAACTCATAGTTTTTCATGTGCTTTTGATAATGTTTGATTTTAGGTAATATTGTTTTATATATGTATTTTTTGTCATTGTGTTTGTTTTTGTGTACAGCACTTTGGCTGAACTGTAAAGTTTTTAAAGTGCTTTATAAATAAAGCTGGTATGATATGGTATGGTATGGTCAAAACATATCTTTGGGAATTATTGAAGTCATTTAACTTACAGTTTTCCTTAGTCGCTTTGATGCATTTATCAAATCAGAACTAACTGACTATTAGTTCAAACTCTACAACACTGAGTCATTTGAGCACATCATTGTAGCAGTTTCTCATTCATTTGAATAAATGTCAAATACTTTCGGACTTTCATACTTTCATACAATTCTCTGCTGTTTTATAACATTATCATTTGCTTCTGTCCAGTCAGTCAAAATGAAACATACAGTACTTATGAACGCTGAATAGTCATTCCCTATCAAACTAATAGTCCTCATTTCATTACTTGAGTCATTACAACAACAAAAAAACTAGTTCTCAAAATCAAACTCTGTCAAGCTAATTTCATACATTTCTTTATCATTTTTTTCCCGGCAATCTCTCCTAAATTGAACAATTGCTCTCAGGTGAATTTCCACTTTTACTCATAATGGGGTGTGTTCCTCGCTGCCTTCAAGGGAAGACATCCGCTGTGATGTAGATGAAAACATGTGGCCAGACAGACAGGAAGGCGTGGATGTCCAGGAATATAGTAAATTATGTACTATTTTTTTTTTACATTTGTGCACAGTCCCACTATAATGGTATTTGTTATGTTTGTTCTAAATAAGAGACTGTGCTGTAGAATTGTAAAAAGCATATGCTGTACAGGTCGTGTATGGTGCTCACCAAGCGTCACCAAGATCTCACTATTTTGTATTGGAGAGCACAATGAAAATGTCACAATGAAAACTTGCTGTTGAGGAATTAACTCATTATGCACTTTCGCAGGTAATCCACAAGGTTTTGCAGTTTGTTCTAGTTGTTCTAAGAAATGCACTAACTGTTGTGCAAATGTGAAGAGTGTGAGAGAGATGTGAGAAATGTACCTAAAAGACTGAGAAAAACTGTAATTTAAAAGGTACTAACTCAAATATTTAGATTATGTAGTTGTTCTCAGCAGGATGCTTAGAACAACTTTAGTGCGTGTCCACGTCTTGTATTGGATAAATAATTGTTGTCGTTCCCCCCATAACTAAATCTCCATAATAGCAAACAACATGTACACACAATGACTATCGAGTCCCAGTATTAATTGTTCATAATTGAATCCAAGGCAATATAAACAACCAATTGCTGAAGCACTCTCATTTACATACTCATTACAAGTCTGAAGAAATCAGATTAGTGACTACATTCTTCACTCAGTAACTCCAGAGTTGTTGCATAAGATAATTCATGGCTTTCATGTTCAATGCCATGCTCTGTCTGAAAGATAAATGCAACTGTCATTCACAATTCAATTACAGTCACAGACAACGCAGGCTAATGTGGCTAATATGCTCTCTCCCCACTGCGTATCATCTTGACTTATTCAAGATATATTTAAAAGCTTTTCATCAAGTTTGACAAGTGCTTCTATACATTTGGGTGGCCTGACTCCGAGCAACTCAGAGAGAATTCTTGCACCCTTGTGTACATAATGATACTGTCACAACACATTCCATTAGTATAAATCTATGGTCTAATATTGATGCAGTCTTGGATATAGGATAGAGAGATTGATAGCAACAGTAGCTAGCTAGATAGATAGATAGATAGACACAAAAATAAAGATTGTAAAGCACAGGTATGAAAAATCTATTTTCTCCAATGTTTAATCAACCCTAGTGACTTTAGTAACAACTTGAATATTTCCAATTCCGACAACCTTTCATCTGCTTTTTGATACTTTTGACAACCCTATCACCTGTTGCGTCATGTATGTGTGCCACCAGTAATTCTAGACAATATCAACAAGTGTCATGATGCAGGGGAAAAGTGAAGGTCCGAGGCACAACTGACTTTCAGGTAAAAATTCTTTATTAAAAGCGTCTTTGAGTGTCCAAAAAACGCGATATAAAACCGATGCATTATTATTATTATCCAGGGTAGTGCTTCCAACCTTTTTGAGCTGTGGCAGACCTTGTCCATTGAAAACAATCAAATGGCACCCCACCAGATAAAACGTATACAAACAAACAATTCTGCCGCCTTTATCAATACCGAAAGTCATCCTCATCAAAGTGTATTATACAGAATTCAAACAAGCACAAAAAATTATTTCTAATATTCTCACATTATTTTCTTTTCACTTTATTTTGACCAAATGGGTGATATTTGACCATTTCCAAAGGCACACCATATAAACATCTCAAGGCACACCAATGTTCCATGGCACACTTGAAAAACACTGATCCAGGGACACCAACGTGTTTTGATTGAGTAAGTCTTCCTCAGAGCAGACTGTCTACAGTAAGCTTCATGATGCTTTGGCAATGAGACAGTGAGTGAGC